AAACTTGCTTGGTTGCCGAGTTGAAATATCCGGACAGACGAACACACACACACACACACGAACATATACACATACACACACACATACATACATGCACACACAGACAGGTCGCCCCAATATGCGTTTTTGCAATTTGCATATAGGCAAAAACGCATAAAAACGACCGGACTTCATGCAGAAAACCGGTAATCATGCACCTGGAAGTCCTTGCGACTCTATAATGCACCACCTTCATCCTAACTGATGCCCTTTCTCCTGCATGCCGGAAAGGAGGCTGGAACGCACCGGAACGCCTGGTCCAGCCTGGGTTTTTTCTGTAGCATTCCACATTCAAAATTAATAACGTTAGAATTTGTTAGTGTCGCTAACGTTACACAACTATATTAACAAATTCTACTTTTTCATTGAGTGTAGATGTTTACTTATGCGCAATTTTGCGAAGTTTAGTGGATGTAGTTCATCCGCTCTACTCCTCTGACACAGTTCCTCATGTAAGGCGCCGCTTTTGTACTGTTTACCCCAATTAGACAAGTATGTCAGAGGATTTTACTTTTTCGTTTTCGAATTCAATGTCGAATTGCGCGAATTGTTCATTCTCCTTGCACTTGATTTTCTGACTTTGTATTTTGAGCGCAGCAACGCTAACAAGATGTGCAGTTCAGTCGACACATCTTTCATTTTTTGTAAGTTTTGTGCTTTGAATGTCATATCTTGCTCAGCAAGTGCATCCGAAGTTGTTCGCTGCGCGTGTCGATTTACTTGATGGATTTTGTTTTTCGTTGTGCTCTTTTTCCATGCTCGTGAAAACCTGTTGGGAGCAGTTAGCGCCCTGCTTCGCATTTCTTCTGATCCCAATTTTCACTGTCTTTTTTTATCCTCATGGGCGAACTTCTTTTGAACTTCTTAATACCTCACTACACGCATTTGGAAAATTTTGTTCTAAGTATGATTACTACTAGCAGTATTTGCGTAAAAACATTAAATTGTTACAAATAATAACCACCAACAAACCGTATAATAAAAGAGCAGAAGTTTTATATTAAACACAAGTAAGGGCTTGTAGGGAAGACGAGGTCAAGATAGCAAGGGAAAGGAAGAAAACAGAGTATTGTCTTTCTATTTATTACTTGTTTGGAACCTAAGCACTCGCAAAACAGAACAATAACATCTTCCAGTTATTTCGCATGTACTTTTACTGAGGTAAAATGTGATTATTTATAAAAATTCAAAAAGTCTGAATTTTCAGGGAAGGCTACGATTGGAGCTGCTGAATGAACTCGATCAGCTTGTGACAGAACTCTTACCAGACGACACAGACAGTCCAGAAAACTTGACCCTGTAAATTTTGAGGCTACATTGCAGATCTCTTTGTCTTAATGAAGTTCAGAAGCATGTTGCTAGAATAAATCTGATTCATTATAGGAAAACACGGGCGACTATTTCGCTGCCTGCCAACTATGAATGCTATCACTGTGCCATTCGAGTCAGCCGCCAAAATACAACATCTGACAACAGCTATTTGTCGTATTCATGCGCAGACGTTAATATTGTTAACGGTCAGTATTACTTTCATTTGCTTTTCTTCTGCAGTTTCATCCA